CCAGTCACAGATGTGTGGTACCAGGTCATGGGTATGCATTACCAGGTCACAGGTGTGTGGTACCAGGTCATGGGTGTGTGGCACTGGGTCATAGACGTGTGGTACCCTGTCACAGATATGTGGTACTGAGTGGTCATGAGTGCATGTACTAGGTCACAGGTATGTGGTACTGGGTCACTGGAGCATGGTACCCAGTCACAGGTATGTGGCACCAGGTCACAGGTGTGTGTACCCAGTCACAGGTATGTGGTATCTGGTGCCAGGTACCAGGTCATGGGAGCATGGTACCCAGTCACAGGTATGTGGTACTGGGTCACGGGAACGTGGTACCCAGTCACAGGTATGTGGTACCAGGTCCTGGGTGTGTATTACCGGGTCACAGGTATGTGGTACCGGGTCACGGGAACGTGGTACTAGATCACAGGGTGCAGTACCGGACCATGGGTGTATGGCACTGGAGTAGTCCACAACTGGTTTCCAGCTGGTGTGATGTCAGGAGGTGGGTGTGGCCTGGCAGGGTCTAGCTCCCTCCCACCCCTTGATCTCTCTCTGCGTCCTGCTGCCATCCCTGTCATGAGCAACCCTGCCCTGCCGTGTCCCTCTGTCATGGCGCCCTTCCCTGGAACCAGGCAACTACGGACAGAAACCTCTACACTCTGTAAGCCAAAGTAAACCTTTCCTCCTTCAACCTCTCTTGGTCAGGCACTGAGTTCCAGTGAAGAGAAAGTAACCAACACAACAGTGAACAGCGACTGGCTCCCTATTGCATTTGTGAAGTCTTATTTCCCTGGGCTGGAACCCCAAACTCTTTGGGCTCTTCACTCAAGAGGGTCCACCCCTGTGACGGTTGTCACAGAAACTGTCAGGCCTGCACTGACTCAGGGCACTAAAAACAAACAGGAAAGAGATTTAGCAAATGCCACAGCAGTCACGTGACAAGCCAGGGTGGTCCAGCTTGTCAACTTTGGTCCCTTAAACGCAAGTGGCCTCCAAGAGCTGAGAGCCCTAAGCACCAATGGGCCCAAGCTGACAACAGCCCAACCACCCTTGCCATTGTCTTGGAGACAAGGACAATGACAACAGCTTCCACCAAGTGACTGAGGCCACAAAAATGGCTTGGAAAGCCACACACTTTATGTCCTGCTGAGTGCTCCACATGAAGCTTGCAAAGGACAGCAAAGCACACCTTTCCATTTCTCCCTGGTTATCAGGGTGAATTTGTTTCCACAACTGCGTAATTTTCTCTCCTGACTGAAATGACTGGCTTGAGGGGAATTTCAGAATAGCTGTTCCTTGGATACTCCTATCTGGGTGTTGGGGGCACACGTAAGGACCCTACCTTCTGCTCTGACTGCCCCCCCCAATTGCAGGACCTCTGTTGTCTTCCCTAATGAGTTACAGGACCACTTCAAAACTGCCATGACCATATGTAAGACAACATATACATTTATATTATTAACAGTAATGGTGGCATTCCATGCTGCTGGACCTTATTTTAGAGTAAAGCTCCCCAGTGGTGGGACCCCCTGAGCCCATTTCTAGGGCTACTCCACGCCCCTGGTAAGGACCTAGAGCTAGGCACATGGCAGGGTTCCTGGGTGTGGGTCTGCCTTATGGGGTGAAGCGGGATGAAGGGGGGATCCCTCAGGCCTGTCCAGCATGGCCCCTCCCCACTTGCCTTTCACCCTGAGTCCTTCTCAAACATCACTGCTTCTGATTCATTGCATGCCAACACAATGAGGTTTGGGGCTGAGGAGGTAGATGCCAGACCCAGTCCCACACTGCTCTGTCTAGCCCCTGGCCCAGTGCTCACCTCCGGGCTGCCGGTAGCGCAGATGCCGGGGAGTCGAGGGGGACCTGCACGGGGACAGCTCTGTGGCGTCCACCGCCGCCGGGGTGCTCTCCATGCCTGCTCGCTCTGCAGGTGTTGACTCCAAGGCAGCTGCCGGGAAACAGAAGGACTTTACAACCAGCCCGGATGGAGGGCAGCTCGTCAGTGCCGTGCACGGAGACAAGAGCATGCCTTACAGGCGATGCATGTTCCTGGCAGCCTCCACCTTTAAAAGGTTTTCCCAGGAATCCAGGAACATGCTAAGGACACAGATCTCCAGCCATGATCCGACGGCCCACAGACCTCGGCTGACCCTGGCCGGTGCCTACTGTTGAAAGCTGCAGGAGTCTGTAGAGGGTTTCCTGGCTGCAAGGCGCCAGGACCTTCCTGGGGTGGAGAAAAGGGACCTTTTCAAATTATGAACCAGATCACGATCAAAATCAGGACTGGGTGACCTCTTTGCCCGGGCTGGCCACTGAAGCAGCCAAAGGGCTCTGCTGTCGCCTCACTCAGGGAGCCCTAGCGAGGAGGCTGTGCTGGCTGCACAGGTGCACCCACCCGGTGTGGCTAGGGACACCTGTGCTACCCCAAATCAAAGTCACACTTCAGACACATCAACGGCTGCCCAGGCCTCGGGACCCACAGGGCGGCACCACCAACTTCCTCCAGCCTCCTGGAGCCCGGGAGCTGGAGCCATGGGCAGTGGGAAGCAGTGCGCCAGGACATGGCCAGACAGACAGACCCCAGCCTGGGGCCACAGAGCCAGGCAGCCACTGCCCCCTTCCCTGGCTGCAGACTGGGCACAAGTGTAAGCTCTTCCAAGGAACAGTCATGCCAACGCAGGTACATGCCCGGCAACTCTTCATTTCATCTCCCTGGTGCTTGTCACCCATTCCACAGATTAAGGCTGAGTGTCAGCTCTGTTCTCGGGACAGAGCTGTGGCCACCCCAGCTGCCCTACTGCCGTCCAAGATCTCCCTGGCAAACGTGCCAGGATCCCAAATGACTTCCCACAGAGCCACTTGGACACTCACATGCGATTCACGCCTTAGAAACAGGGCCACAATTTTCAGTTTTTCAAAGGGGCCGGGGACAGGAAATGGTTGGACTCTTTCCTTGAATGACATAATTACAGTAAAGCTGGCAGAGGGGCAGATGCAGACGAAAGCATCCGTGCTCAGCTGTTCCTTTCATTATGATGGAAATAGCTCAAGCGCAGCAGCACTGGCGGCATCTGCCGTGTAGGAGCGGGCGGAATAGAAATGCCGTGCGGTGGGGCAAGGCAAAGGGGGGTCTGTGGTCAGCGATATGTGCAGCCCAAAAGCACTCCCAGAGCCCTGGACCAGACCCCAGTGCCCCGGAGGCTGAAGAGCAAGGACAGCACTGTGGGCAGCAGAGCCCCACGAGTGAGCCCTGGCAGCGCGACGGGGAGCTCCTCCTGGTTCAGTCCCTGCGGGCTCCAAACCAAGCCCGCAGAACAGGTGACACAGGTGACAGTGAAAGGGACAGGTCCCTCCTCCCAGGGCAGGCAATTCTCAGCTCGGAGCAGAGCCACACGGGCAGCAAGATGTGCAGCAGGGTCTGGGGCACTGCTCGGGCGAGGGGCTCTCCTTCGAGCCTGGCAGTGGCTGGCTGTTCATGGAGAAGCCATCTTGGTGTGGCACCTGAGTCAGGGTGCGGTGGTGGCCGGAAGAGCAGCTGGGGGAAGAAGGAAGGTGGGGCCTTATGTGTCCACCAAGAGATGAAGGGACAAAGAAAGTGTGGTGACAACACACCAGGGAACACCATTCTGCCACAAAGAAGGACAGACTGGAGCCCTCTGTAGGGACTGGATGCACTGTGAGACCGTCATGCTGTGTGACACAACTCAGACAGACACTTACATGTCGTGATGTTTATATGAGAAGTCCAAAGTATCAATAAAGGGCAAATTAAAAGATGGATAATAGAAACAGGGAGATGGATGTTGGGCAGAAGGAAAGAAGATAGACGCAGAGGAGGAGGGAGCGGACATGCAAGGGACGGAGCTGTGTTCTGAGCACGCACCAGCTCCCCCTGAGGAACGTGGTCACCATGAGCTGCACATGTGGGCTAATAAAGATTCAAATTTGGGGGGCACTGGGAAGATAGCTCAGTGGTCTAAGCACCTGTCTGGCAAGTATAAGGACCAGGGTTCAATCCCCAGTACTGTCTGCCAAGCCATGCCAGCCACCAAAACTGGGCATGGTAGGGAGGCTGAGATAGGAGGATCACTACGAGTCCGAGCTGTGTAGTGGAACCCTGCACTAACTAATTAATTAATTAATTAATTAAAACAATTTGTATTGTTTTAAAGAAGAAGGTAGGGTCTGCCTGGCAATAGGAGTGAGGGCACTAGGGGACGCCGTGGGAGCCAGCACGGGTGGGGGTTCGGCGGGGAGGAGGTGAAGCTGTGCTGCTCTCCCCTAAAGCATCTGCTGCCTTGCTCGTTCTGAAGGCTATTTCCCACTTCCCTTCAGACCATCTGCAGCTCTCTTGCCAAGAAATACTGCAAGTCCAGCTTTACAGCACCACGAGAAGACTGAGCCGCTGCCCATGAGTATTCACAAAGCATATTCTGAAACTCTGTGTGGGCAGCAGTGAGGGATCCCAGGTCATCCCCTGAACAGTTCCCCGAGGGGAGAGGCAGAAAGGACGGGAGAGGCTGGGGCCGGACCTGCACCGAGCCTGCCACTGCTAGCGTGGTGCAAAGCCTTGCAAACGTCTTTCACTCGAGACGGATCAGCACCTGCTTTTCCTCTGCCAAGTGGGATTATCCAGACAAGACAGCAGGGGTAGCAAAGGAGCACTCCTGGCCCCCCCACACACACACACCCCACAGGTGTGCAAAGACATGCATGCACACATGCATGCACACACACACACACACAAGCACACTATGCACTGAACTTCCAGATGGGTACAAGCCATTACAACTTCTCTAAAGCTCTTCACGATCAATGCTGTCCACATTTGAATGTAGAATAAAAAGAGACAATCAAGTCTGTCTCCCTGCATTTTGCCTGCTTAGAAAAGCGCCCAAGGACCACCACAATCGCAGCCCGAAGTCAAAGCTTTCCACCCACAGGGTTTCTCTGTCCAGGATCGACAGCAAAAAGGAAGCGTCACAAGCCAGTCTACCGCCAGCCTTCAGCAGGGCACTCACTCTGCTCACCTCCATCCTTCCAAGAAGTGCACAGGACTCCTGGGTCGCTGCTCGCTCACCATGCCCCACTGTCACCCAACATCACCTTTCCCCAGCTGTGCCAGGCGCCTCTGTGAATAACCACCTCGAAGACAGGAACTGAAAACATTCAGAGGAACCGGACGCCAGGGATGGAAAGGGCGATACTGTAAGACGCAGAGTGCCAGGCTGGGGCACTCAGTAGGCACAGCCAGGGTCAGGGTGGGAAGGAGCACCAGGGGGTGCCGGGCTGCAGCTGCCCAGGAGGCCCAGGGAGCAGAGGAATGGCCTTTCAAGCACAGGTTGTCTCCAGGGGTGTCACCAAGTGTCACAGACTCCCCCACCGTATTGGCACCGCCAGGTGGAGGAGCCTGGCATTACCCCTGGCCCGAAATGTCACAATCATACAAGCATCTGTGACCTATGAGCAATTTGCATAAACTCGCTCCGGAAGCTGCGAGTAACATTAGCTTGCTCACTCTATAACAGATCTGCTGAGAAGCAAAGGCACCAGGCCTTCAGCATTAGCTGCTTCCATGATGCTCTCAGGCTCCCGGTGATGAGCTGCCAGAGGCGTCTAACATCTGTCGTTGTGCCTACGCTCATCTCTGTGCACTGTGGTTTGGCCTCACAGCTACTGTGCTGTGAACTCGGTACCTCCTGCAACTGTGTGCGGCAGGGCCAGGTCACAGAAGGCCAGAGGCCACCCCATGGAGGAGGCTCCCTACAGAGGACGGACAGTTCCTCCCTCCTCCTCTCCTAGCACAGCCAGAAGGGCCTTCCTGGATGGTGGCAGCTTGGCCTTGGACTTTGCAGCTGTGAGAAACAAATTTCTACCCATCGTGAATGACCCTGTCTAAAGATCCGACCTCAGAGGCACAGAACAGACAGGCACTCTGGACCTAACTTTTGCCCAGCTGCCGCTCCACTGCGAAGCCCACTCCTCCCTTCTGGGTCCTGGATGCCAGCTCAGGCAGGACTCACGGCAGGTACTGGGCCTTCACTGTGCATGCTGGGATTGGGCCTTGAAGGCCAGAGCCAAGGGAAGGTGGCCACCAAAGCTGGGCCACTGGTGCACAACAAAGCACAGGTGATGTCCACCCTGGGAGCACTGGCTCACCTGGGGACCTGTGGAACTGTCACATCTGTTCCAGGTGTGCTCCAGAGAGACCAGATTGTGATTTCCTATTAAGAAAAAAGGTTCTGGTACCTCTAGTCTGTAGCCAAAATAAAATGCAACTCTTGAAGAATTATTAAAAAAAGAAAGATCCAGAAGCCAGGGAGATGACTCACAAGAGCCTGAGTTCAATCCCTGGTTCCACCAAAAAAAAAAGAAAGATGCTCCCCTAAAGCCCATGAAGATAGTCACTATAAAACAAGGAAACCTCTGACAGTAACATGCAGTGGTGAGCTGTGTGCAGCTCATGGGTGTGCAAAATGGTACAGCCACCGCGCAAAACAGCGCAGAGGCTCCTCCCAAAATTAAAAGGGGAATGCTTGCAGCCCAGCAGTCTCGCTGGTGGGTGTGCGCCTTTCCTGCTGCAGTCACACTGCGGAAGATACTACGTGAGCGCGTGTGTACACACATACACACACACACAAATCAAGATCTCCAACAGACACACACTTGTGCTCCCTGCACAAAAGCCAAGAGGTGCAAGAAAAGGCGGTCTAGCCAGATGATGGAGCACTATCCATCCTTTAGAAAGAAGGCAGCCTATCACATGCTACAGTGTGGATGAACCTTGAAGACATCGTGCTAAGTGTAATAACCAAGCCAGCAAAGGAAAAACACTGCATGATTCCTCTCCTAGTGGGTCCTTAGAGTAGGCAGACTCTTAGAAACAGAAAGCAGGATGCTGGGTGCTGAGGCTGGAGAGCTGCTGCAAATGTACTTCAGGAAGACAGTGTGATCATAACTTAGACGTCATGAAGAGAGGGAGGAGGAGAAGGAGGAGGAGGAAGAGGAGGAAGAGAAGGAGGAGGCATGGTGAGAAAGGAAACTCTTAAGGAGTACTGTGGTTTTCAGCTACAAGACTGTGCCAGGATCCACCCATGGGACTCCCACAGCATCCGCATGGTACAAAGGCTGTGCCCACAGGAGCAGTGCCACTTGTGGCTCCCTGGAGTGGCAGCTGCCTCCAAGGCTGTGGGAGACCACCAAACTGAACTGTCCTGAGAAATGAAGCCCCTGACCTCCATCTTTCACTGTCCCCTCCTCAACCCTATTCCCAGAGAAGCCAAGGTGTCTCAGTGCAGCACATGGGGAAACGGCCCCCTTCACCACTGATGGCTGGAACGGGGACTCAAGCAGAAGCCTGCGAGATTCCAGGGCTAAGATATGAGGTGACAGCTCAGCTGAGGACTTGGAACTCAGAAAGAATTACGCCTTCCTGGCAGTGAGGCTGTCAGCCTGGCACACATCAAGCTAATTGGAGGCCTTGATGCCTGGTACAAACTGCAGTTTCTCCTTGCAGTCCATGCCTGTGAAGTTTCTTTTCCCTAGCACTCTGCCTTCACCTGCACCCACCACCCTGTTTGATACCGATCAGAGCTCCTCAACTGCAGAATGTTCTCTCTGTCTTTCTTGTGCATCCATGAGTCCTATTGCCAGGAAGGAGACCCGCCCCTCCTGCAAGGGTTTCGGGTCAGGACCACCATGCACCCTCCACTCCCATTCCCACTGGGAGAAGCTGCCTGCCCCACAACCCCTCACAGCCCTTCCTGACACTTCCCGCTGTGACCACCCGGTTTCTCAGCTCTCAGAGCACCAAGGGCCAACACTGTGTTGCTTGGTTTTAAAGCTCACCTAAACCAAGAGACAGGAGGATGCAGGCCAACCAAGGATGCCTCTTCTGCCCCTCCAGGCTGGGCCCTGAGTCTACACCTCCCTGAGCCCAACCGGGCCAGAACGGGACAGGAGGACAGGCCGTGACCTCTCTTGAGCTCGCTGTTTACGGACCTTATCCTCCTCCCTCTTCTTCCTCGGCTAACTTCTCACTGTGGCAGATTTCCTGGTTGAGGCAGCCTCTACGGAACATGGCAGCCGCTCCAGTTCAGTCTCCATGAGGACCATCCCTTGGGAAGAGCTTTTAAATGACTGGAGCAAGGAGCAAATCGGTCCTCCTTGCCACGCGGGCCTATCTGAGTTATTGCTTGGTTTTTTATGTCATCAGTACAAACACTGCCGGGCACGGGGGTACACACCCGGAGAATGGGGCATGGGGGTGCACAACTGGAGCATGGGGCGTGGGAGTGCACACCCAGAGTCCCAGCACTTGGGAGGCTGAGGCAGGAGGAAAACAGCAAATCTGAGGCCATCCTGGGCCACACAGTGAGTTTGAGGCCAGCCTGAACTATGGTGGAACTCCATCTCCAACAAATAAAAACAATAAAGAAATGTATGGTGCCACCTTGGCTCACAAATTTAATCCTCACTATGATTCTGGTCACAAACCAAACTGGCTGAGGAAGGTCAGGTGGTCCTCCGCAGGCCCATCTCGTGTTCCCTGTTCTACTTCACTCATTCATCCCACAGAAATGCACTGTGTGCAGGCCCTGGCAGGGTGCTGAGGATGCACAGGGCAGGATGACAGCTGGCAGCTGGCCTCCTGCAGCTGAGGCCCCTGGCGGACGAGGGAGCAGAGCTGAGCAAGTGCAAATGCCCTGCAGCAGGAGGGCCAAGAAGAATCCTCAATCTGCAGCTGGGACAAGGGCCAGGCTGGCGCAGAGCCAGGGAGAGGTGGCACTGCCTTGGCCCTGGCCAGCCGCCTGGCACCACAGCTGCCGCGCACCCACTGCCTTGGGCAGCTGTGCACTCACCCTGCTGTGGCGGCGGGGACTTGGCAGGGCTGTGCACAGCGGGTGGGCTACCGGACACTGAGACAGTGGTCAGGTCCAGCAGGCAGGTCCTGGAGCTGGCAGGTGAGCTGAGGGACAGCTTCCTGGTGGGCACAGGCGATGCCGTCCTGGACGCTGTGGGCGGTGGTGAGGAGAACTTGCGGCTCAGCCTGGGGGAGCGCCTGTCAGTGGGGGGCTCTGCACGCCCAGTGCTGCAGGCGAAGAATAGTTCCAGGGACCTGGGGGCGTGGGCGGAAGGTGACCTCCAGGCCAAGCACAGAGCTCTGGGCTGGAGAACCCAAACGATTTCAAGGCATGCCCACAACCTGCCGAGGATCTCAGGGGTGTGAGAGTCCAAGGGGTGCAGCTGGTGGGAAACTCAACTATGGGAGGGGAGGGAAGGAATGGAGGGAGGTGTTGGAAGGACAGAAAGGAGGGTGAGGAAGGGAGGAGGGGAAGAAGAGGGCAGGGGAAGGGAGGGGCAGGGAAAGCTCGAGGCCTGCATCCAAGGATTCTGTCAGAACAGCCGGGAGCCCCTCCCACTGCGCAGGTCCCCCCACCCCACCCCACAGCCGGGGTCCTCTCCAGGCCTGCCTACCTGACGGGGATGGAGGTGAAGGGCCGCCGGTAGATGTCGGCCAGCTTGGCCAGCACCACTGTGGCTGAGGTGAAGAGGCGGTAGGTGTGCAGGAAAGTGTTGAGGAAGTCGATGCTCAGGAAGCGCAGGTCGGTGAGGCGCTCCAGCAGGCGCTCCACGCTGGCACAGCGGATCTGCGGCACCTTGCAGGAGTTGAGGGTCTTGCTGAAGCAGATGTCCACGTCGTCCTTGTGCAGCCGGGCATCAGACCTGTGCAGGGTGGTGTGAGCCCAAGCCACGGGGGTGAGGGCTGGGACAGTCTGGCCTTGCAAGCCTAGAAGCCAGGGCTTACTGTGGGGCCAAGGCCGTGCTTTCATTTCTCCATGCGGGTCCCTCCTCACTAGTTCAGTTATATTTTACTAAGAAAATGAAATCAAAAGCCCGCTTTACAAGGGGAAAAGCATTTTTTTTTTTATTATCTCTTTTTGAGACAGGGCCTCACTATGTTGCCCACACTGACCTCTAACGCAGGCAATCTTCCTGCCTCAGCCCCAAGTGCTGGAATTGCAGGGATGCAACACACGATAAGGTGGTGAAGGTGATTTTTAGGGCTGAAAGCAGAATATCACAAGTGTGCACCAAAAGTACTGGAGACGCCCTACATCGCGGAAGAGAGATGTCACTACTGCTGCCGCAATGCTAATGCGGTCTAATGCGTTGATATATGTGCCTTCTGGAATCGGCCCTCTGACGTAGCAGCGCTACCATTTTCCTTTATGTGGCTTATGCACATTCGGTCTTAGCATGTTTCCCTCCTACACTTTCCTGCGGCTGAGTTTCTACGCCTTTCCTAAGGTCTTGAGTTGGGTGTCCTAATTTGTGGGTCCAGTTCTTCTGGACTTACTGATGTGCGGACGTTTTCTGAGTGTAATTTCATCCCCGAAGTTGGCATGATGTGCTGTGTCTGCATTGTTTTCAATAACCTGCACTGCTAAAAATGTCTTCCTTAAAACAAAACAAACCAGCATGAGATGAAACATGCCCTGCTAAGGGATCTGCCCTCACCCTGCACCACCCGGCCCTTCTGCAGGCTCCCGAGCCACAAGGTCTGGCAGCCTCAGCTTCCCTCAAAAGATCCCGTGTCCCTGCTTCTGCAGCTGTACAGCAGGGACTCATGAGGGCCTGAATTTCAACACTGTTCCCAAGGAGATGCCGTGGGCAAGCAACCGCTGAGCACAAGCCACAGAGCCGGAGCCAGGGGCTTCGCGTAACCTCTCCTACGGAACCCTTGCAGCTCCACTAGGGCTTACAATTATATATTTACTTCCTTTCCCCTAGAAAGCACTCAGGAGCTTTCTCGGTTTGCTCTAGGAAACTTGCAGCTCCAGCGAACTCATGCGGCAGCGACCTCCACCCTGCAACCCACAGGGCATCTTCAGTGACCAGCCAGGCCCACGGAGTCACCCGGGGCGGCCTCTTGGCTTCACATTATTGATCTCGAAAACACACAAGGGCAAGCATGAGATGCCTGCAAGTGGTTGGCTGTGCCTTCCCTTGCTGTGTGTGAGCCCACTAATAGATTTTTCTGGTTCTTAATTTTCTCATTAATCAAAAGGCCTGAGCAACTCTAGGAGTCATCGATTGGTCCCAAATATGACTGACTGAACAATGGCTCTTTCCCTACTGCTTTCCACCCAGTATTTCTATTTTCTAAGAAAGCTGAGGCCAGATAGCATGGAAAGAAGCATGGAGCTCAGGTGCCACACATAGGGCACCGTCACCCCGCAAGGCTCACAGCGGCGCATTCCATCAGTCTTGAGCTTGCAGCTCTTAACTACGGTATAACAGGTTTATTCAAAGCACCAGGGGAAAGAAAATATGTTGCAGCCAGTATTAGATTAAGTTCTGTCCTTCAAAATTATGACTTCATTTTCATTTTGAGAAAAGAAATCAAATATTATGAAATTACTTAATTTTCTTTTATTACACCGAGCAGGATCTTACTTGATTTCCTAAGGGGCTCTCAATTCTAGGCAGCATGTGTCACGGAGGCTTCCCGTGATCTCAGCAGCGCTTTCTACAAGCACACAGGAAGCAGTCACGAGGGCTCAGCACCAGGTCATCTGTGGCATTTGGGCCGTTTCTAAGGGAAAGCAGGGCTTCCGGGCCCTCAGCGCGGTGCGCGGGCAACAAGCCCCAGGGGATTACAGCAGGACACCTTGTTTTTCTGTTTCGCTAAGAAATGTCTGTTTCTTTTTCCCCCTGGCATGGAGAACGGGACACACACCAAGTGCGGTGTAGCCTCATGGTGCAGACGGAAATCCTCCTGGCCTAAGACACAAGCTCCTGTCATGTTCTTCGGGACTGTGTGATTTTCAAAGTTGGCAAAATGTGTGCAAAGTGGGTGGATAAACGGCCACCCCAGGACTTTATGGCCTGACCCAAGCTGGCTCACACACTGCCACCCTGAGCCAGTTGGACTTCAAGCTGGCGTGAAACTCATGTACATCATGCTGGAAAGGTTAAAAGAAGAATCCTACAGTAAAAATGGCCACGGTAATTCAACCCACTGATGTGAATTCAGAAATCAAGCCACAATTTAGACCACTCAGTGTAACACCCGCACTTGTTCTGAACCTTACCATCATATGTTTTAAGTATTCCCTCTCTTAAGGACACTAAATTAAAAATCTAGACAATTAACTACAAGGGAGTCTTTGCCCTAGAGTTTAAAAATGGGCCTCCCGGAAGTATTCTAAAACATGACTAATAATTTAAAATACTATCATTCTCCTACACATCACAATTTTCCACCCCAATGTTGGCAATAATACTGTGTCATCCTTCATTGGATATGATCATTGAAAACCCTGCACCAGGGCCACTGGGGCCAGGCTCTCTGTCGTGTCCACCCTGCACAAGAGGACAGGTGGCTTCATCTAGTATTCATGCTTCTGCCTGTCTCAGCACAAACAGTTCAGACCTCAAAACACTCTCAGAAGAAGGCATAAAAGACAGACATACTCTTAGTTTCCAATAGCTTCTGCTTTAAAATATCTAACAAAATTGCTTTCAAAAATGCACTATGCTCTAGAATTAAAAATGCAAATAACCCAGAATATGAAAGTAAGGAACAATTTGGTTCACTTCAGAACTCTTCCAGGACATTTCTAAACTGAAAAACAAAATAGTATGTGGCGACAGTGCATGGATACAGAGCCTGAGTTCACTGTTTGCGCTAGGCTTTACCTGGATGGCCCCAAAGCCCCGCTCAGAGGCAGGGCGTGTACGAGCTGGGCGGTTCTGGGCGTGCTGCGCTGGCCTGGTGCTGGCAGGTGGGGCCTGGCTAGAGGCAGGCCACGCGGGCAATGGCCTGGGGGACCACAGGGCTCCTCCTCGCTCTGCTTCCTGAGGCCGAGCTGGGAGGGCTCCCCTCCGCCAGGGCCCTCCTCCCCGCAGCCAGTCAGCTTTGGACAGGTCGTGGGCCGAAACCAACCAGATCTCCTCTAAGGCAAGGGTGCTGGGCACTGCATCCCGGTGACAAGAAAGAGATGGAGCTTCTCCTTTTAAACTCTAGCGACCTTAGTGCTTTCCTTGAGTTGCAGGATTTGCTCTGTTGAGACGCAAGACCTGCAAGTGGCCCCTGGGCCAAATCAGAGGCAGGCAGGGGCGAGGGCTCCATGGCCGACTTAGCTGACTGCTGTTAGCTGTGCTCAACATTTACACATTTCTCTACTGCCACGCTTGGGCAGTAGGTTCACACCCACAAGCAGGTGCCACGTAAGTCAACCATGCTGCCATCCACTTCTGTGGACACATCTGGCTGTCACACTTCAGATTTCCATACTGAACATCTTGCTAGGATTCTTTTGGAGTGAAACCACAAGGGTATGAAAAACAGCTTTACCAGGGCGCAAGTGAGCAAACGGGGACCCTGAAGCTCCATGTGGATGGCCTGACTGTGTGGCTCGCAGCCCATGAGTGATCACGTGACTGGCAAGACCTGCTCTCAGTAGGAGGCACAGCTTCGCCACAGCAGTGCTGACTCCGCAGGCTGATCTTGGTTAAAAGGAGGTGCGGCTTATCGTACTCACTTGATCATGTGCGGCACCGTGACCTTGGAGTTCTCTTCAAAGACGATGGTCATTAAGCCGTTGCACCGGATGTTGTCCACACACTGCGAAATTCAAACAGAGGCATTGAAACCCTCCTGGACTCCCAGGCTGATCACATGGTCCAAGAAATGCTTACTTTCTCACCTGTGTGTGCCACACACGCACGCACGCGCGCACACACACACACACATGCGCGCACGCGAGCACGCGCTGACCCAGCATCCATACACCAAAACTACTTGAACCACACTTCCAGTACCAGGGCCTCACTTTCCCAGAAGGTCTTCTCCGAGACTTCTGTCTGCTGTGCGCGGGGCCGCCAAGCTCTGACAGTCCCGACAGCACGTGGAGGTTTGCCCCTCTGGCTGCCCTTTGGATACGCAGAGGCTTCCGCCAGGCGCGAGAAGAAGGACTCCAACTAGAAGTGGCCTTTTCTCGGATGAGGCTCATCTGTGCGGCAGCAAGCTCCGTGCCCGCTCTCAGCGCTCCTCCTGCCAGGCCGTGCCCACACTGTACCACTTAGTCTAGCAGTTTCTATTGGCACCGCCTTGGGCTGGTGAGGGGGCAGCGTGATTTTGCCTGTTGCTGGCATCTCTCCCGTCTAAGGGCAGAACTCAAGAACATTTGCTAATTTTCTGTTTTCTTCATTTATGTCTGCATCTTATCAATTTAAATTTTTCCTCTGATTACTTTGGGTTACAGAAAAAATTACTGAACTACAAATATTCCCTTTGAACAAATACTTTTCAGCAACTTTTCAAATTCAAAGTTGCTTTCAGAGTCCAGGACACCACTCAGTGCTGCACGACTGGCACGACACAGTGCAAGGCATAGGGCCACAGGGCGGCCTCCGCGAGGCGGGTCCTGGGCCTGTCGGGTACCCCAGCATCGGACAGTGGGCGCTGTGTCAGGAGCCAGATCACTAGACGCCCTCGACCTCGCAGCCTGCCGTCAGCTGGCCCTTTTCACATTTGTCTTTCCTTTGAATTTTGCTCTCCTCACATATTATGCTGTTATTCCAACTACTGGGTATAAAGAATTCCCAACTTACAGAAATGAAGTATTTTAAAGTTGCCCTTCAAACCCTTTTCTTAAACTATGGCACATGGAAGGAATCCTGAGCTATGTTTTTATGTAAATGCCTTCGTTGCCTCACTAGGTGCTGGGTTATGTGCGGGTTTATATAGTACCTAGCCCCCAAAGGGAGGCTACAGAAAGCCTGTAAGATGAAAGTGAGCCAGGGGGAGGCCGGCGAGGAACACGTAAAGTCTAAGACGAGGCCACCACGCACACTTGAGGTTGGACACACTCACCAGACGTGGGTGGGGAAAGTTCTGCCACCCACTCCTCAGACAGAGGGTGCATATCTGGACATAAAGAGCTCACCATAATTATAACCTCCAAGTAAGAGAACCAATAAAAAATGGGCTACTGAAATGCATGGACATTTCTCCGAAGGAACACAAACGGTAAATATATGAAAGATGCTCAACATTGCTGGCTGGTGGAGAGAGGCAAAATAAAACAACACTGGGACCCCATTGCACTCCAGAAAGAATGGCTGCCAGCAGGAAGCCAACCAACAAGGAATGCTGGCGGGCTGAGGAGGAACAGGAAGCCCTTCCGCACTGCTGGAGGGGCTGCAGAGCGCTGCGGGCACTGCGGAAGTCAGTATGAAGAATCCTCAAGGGCAAAAACTAGGAAATCCGTTCCGCCCCGCTATTTCTCTTCTAGATATCTTCCAGAAAGAGTGGAAAACGTCGTATTGTATCCACATGCGCAGCAGCACAAGCCATGGCAGCTAAATCCTGGAGTGGCCTGGACAGCATCAACAGGTGCATGAAAGGGCAGCGTGGCTTCCATGCAGTGCCACACTGCTGTGCCACCAGGAAGGACCAGCTCAAGGCATCAGCGGGAAGTGCAGCCTGCGACTGGACTGCCAAGTGAGACGAATCAGACACATGGGATTAAGTGCTGCATGCTTTCCCTTACATTAGAGCTCTAAATATAGATAAAAGCTGGACGGAAGGGGACGGGGATAGAAAGGCAGTTGAGACGTGGTGTGCCCACACACCAACTCCCACAAGGAACATCACCACCATGCACGGCAAGCATGGGCTAGCAGAAGTACAAATTGAAAAAACCCATTAGCTGAGCTCTGGTGCAGCCAGCCAAAGGAAGTAGCCAAGACTGAGTGCTAAATCCACACCGTAGCACAAGCCCAACCAAGCTTAGCCTGAGAGCAGAGGCAAACGATCTCATGGGTTCTCAGAGAGAGAGAACCACATCCTTGCAGTCTCTCCACAACAATTCCAAGTTCCATAGCCAGTCTTTGTGGCCTGTGGTGACACCAAGCACGACTCAAAGTGTGATTCCAAGTGGACACCCCTGAGAGGGCGAGCTCCAGACACCTGCACGCCTCTGCTGCCTGCCCTCCAGAGAGGCTTGCGCTCTCCAGAGAGGCTGTCTCACTCTCCATGCGGGATGTTGCCAAGCTCAGGGAAGGTGCCCTTGAACAGTCACACAGGAAGTGGAAAAGGAAGCCGGAGTTTGCAGGGGAACATGTCCCTTTGTGTTCCTGTCACACTCTAAGCGAGGGGCAGACAACACATACACCAGCCAGTGGGTGGCTGCATCCACAAGAACGGCCCAGGGCGTGGCCCTCTGCCTGGATCCCAGTGGTGGAGCACCTGAGGACAGGAGCAGCCAGTCACAGGATGAGTTTGCAAAAAGCAGCCCAGACAGGAGCCGCAGCCTGATCTCAGGGATGCAGAGCCAGGCCTCAGGGACACACGAATGAGGCTAGGGCTGAGTCTGCACCCGGCCACTGCGCCCCCGGGCTGAGTCCGCTGAGGGGACCGGCACCCCTCCAAGGTCACATCCAGAAAGGGAGACAGAGTACTGCACACCGGCCAGCACTCAGGGACGCCAGCCACGGGGTCCTGGCAACCCCTGCGAGCCCACTGCGCCTGTCCCTGCCCCAGAGCCAGAGCAGCCGCTCTGCTTCTTTTGTCTTTTAGGCTTACTAGTCCACATTCATGGTGCCCCGTACTTAGCGGCCTCGCGGGGAGCTGGGGCACTACACCCATGCCTGGCGCACTCTGCACAACCGCACCCCCCCCCCAGCCCCTGCCCTTCCGCGAAAGCTCTCTGTTTCCTACTGTCTTCTCGCTTGCTCTTAGTTTACACTTTGGGGTCCTCATGGACTAGAAACCATGGGATATTTAAGCTTATTTGTCTGACAACATCTCAGACCATTAGAGAAATGCAAATGAAAGCAACACCAAGATCCTATCGCACTCCAGAGGGAATATCAATAGTCAGAAACCAGGCAATAAGGAACGCCGGTGAGGCTGTGGGGGAAACAAGTTTCCATGCTGCTGGTAGGAACGTGAACTAGTACAGCCACTGTGAAGACAGGCATGGAGGATGTTTAGGAAACGAAAACTGTCCCCTTCAGCTATCTTCCTGAGAGAACAGCAGACACCATACTGCAGTGTGCACACACACCTGGGCTGAGTGCAGCACAGCTCCACACAGCTGACTCGGAAGCAGCCTATGTCCATCACAGACGAATGGACAAAGAAAGCGGGGTCTACACACCACGGAGTGCTACTCTGCCACAAAGAAGGGCACAGCTGAGTCACTTGGAGGAGAATGGATGTACTCTAAGTCCATAATGTTACGGTCTAGCTTTTCGAAAGAGGAAAGCAACGAAGACTGGGCATGGTGGCGCACACCTGTAATCCCAGTGCTTGGGAGGCTGCAAACAGGAGGATCACTATGAGTCCTATCTGTGCAGTGAGACCCTGTACTAAATATGTTAAAAAAAAAAAAAAGAGTGAACCAAAAGGAAAGGGGCCTCAAGTCCAGTCTTCTTGGCCTACCTGCCCAGGAGACACAATCTGCTGCCATGGCAACCACAGGCAGCCTCAGGTGTGGTTCTAGCATCAGGTCGACAGGAGCCTGCTCTGTGGACCCCCCTGCACAGACCCATCCTTCCTATTGTCTGCAGCAAAAGCACCGCCCTCCTCTGCCTCACTTCCCCCTCTGTGTGGATTAGGGCACTGAGGTTCTGAGCAGGACTTCCCAGGGAGCAGGAGGGGCTGGGACACAGCACCATGACAACACCTGGGGCAGAGGCCACATAGCCAGGAGGGCAGACATGCAACAGAAACCTTCCTTTTGTCACACCTGATATGAATACACGTCAGATTACTGCTTTGGCTGAAATACTTCATTTCTTAAAAAACGCAATCCTACCAAAGAAAACTGGAAAGAGAAAATAGCAATGTCAGAAAATTAACCCTCACAAAAAGATATCATTAAGCAATTTAATTTTTAAATAGATCACTATACATCTGAGAAAGAACAGAGGAGGTCTTTGGCTTTTTTTTTTCTCACCTCTCCCCCTTCATGAATACAGTGATTCATAACTTGGAATTTAAGACAGTCAAAAAGGAAATAAATGTAGACTTTCATTTTTCATTTTAATGTTTTTTAGTTATGAAATTCTTCAGACATACAGAGAAGAATGGGACCTCCACGGCCGGCTCCTGAGATGAAGGAGGAGCATGTCTTGCCACATTGGCCACAGGACCTTTCCTGCCTTCCCCGGCTGCGTCAGCGCAAGCTCGGAGAAGGCCGGCGCCCTCCTTCCCACCAGCCTTCTCCTCCCAGGACCACTTTCGCGAAGCTGATGCTTTTCGTCCTTTGCCGCCCCTCCTCATTGTGCCATGCATTTTTGCCCCTTGCCACGTACAACGTCACTGGCATTTTCGAGGCTTCCGCAGACACTTGTTTTGTGCCCAGTATCCTCTGAGACCATTCGGTTGACCTGCAGAGCTCTGCCGTCTTCAGTCTGTACACCTGCGGTCTAAACACACACCACAGTCCTTCCGGGACTGCCCTCTTTCTGCTACTATAAACGGGTTTTCTGGTATTATACAAAGTCTAGTCGACATTCTCCTTGTGAAAAAAATGCTACTTTTCTTCTAATCTTTTCATTGGTAACTTGTCTTTCTACATTTTTAGATATGTCCTTTTCTGTCTGATCTTCTGT